AAAGCGTGCCTACGCCAAAATTTTCCCTTTAAGGCAGAGTTCCCCATCCCGTAACCAAATTTCGAAGACTTTACCCAACACTGGATTTTAGAATCTTCTGGACCTCAGTTGGCGTAAATATTCGCTATGAAATAAAATCTTTTACCTACAACAAATTTAATCACAATGTCGTAAATCATACTTTCATTTTCTAATATTTTTTTTAACGCGTAAAAAATGTTTTATACTAGAATTTAAAATCTGTCTATATTGATCGCCAAGCTTTGGCAGTGGTAACTGACTTTATCTGTTTTCATTGTTGCTGAGTGATTCTGTCTGAACTTGTCTGATGCAGTTTAATTCTCAACAAATGTTATTGATAATGATTAAGAGGCATTTATCATATTTATAGTATATGTAGTTATTGATGGCTTTTTTTTTTAAAGAGCTATCTGTCGTAGTGAATATTTATTAATTTTAGTATTTTTATTGCTTTTGGTATACTTTCTAGAGCTCGTTACTTCAATGTATTAGGTATTGTTATTATTATTGACATATTCCTTAATATGTTTTTTTTCGTATGGAAATTTTTCTGGGCCGTATTTATTGACTAAAATATCCCGCGCATGGAATATATTTTGAATCAATATTTGAGTGTAATATTAATGAGGCAATAGCCTAAAGTTGCTTGTTATGCATTGCAAAAAATTGTACTTCTAGTTTTAGAAAAATTAACATAAAGGGAATTATTTCCAATAATTGCGTCATTTTATGATGTGTTATACGCGTTTATATTACCCGAATATATGATTTACTATTTTAGTTTTTATTTATGTGTGCTATTGCAGTGGAGTATTAGCCCTGGTGTGTGGCTGAAGAAGAGTCAGTATACTGACCCCAGTGTGTGTGTCAACCCTATGGCTTAAAGCCTGAATTGTGCGGGTCCGAGTGCCTGCCCTCTTTATATTTAACCCATTTTTTTATATATGCATTTTTTAAATATTTAAAACGCATCTTGTTTCAGCTGACAAGTCGGTACTTATTAATTTTGCTAAAAATTTATGCATTTTTTATAAAAAATTGATTCTACAAGGGTGAATTTTAATTTGTTTGCTCGGGATATGCTTCAAAATTAGATGTATCAGTTGGGCTCGTGTTTTCTGAAATGTGTTGGTATTTGTTTTGTACAGAATCTGTTTGTTTAACTAGTTGTGATTTTTTAGCATACAAAAAAAAAGGGATTAAATTTGAGCTATATCGAATGACGTTTCGTAGGCGTTCTGTTTTTATTAACGTTTATGGTGTTTTGAGGCAGATTTCTCAGACGGGTATAGGAAGAGGTGTACAGAACCCTATTTTTATTTCAAGAAGGTTATATCTAAGAGTAAGGTTCTGAGTTGAGTGTTTAACTTGAGAGAAATTACTCAGTTTTTCTGTTGAAATGTTTCATCGTTTATATTCTGCAAGCCTATCCGATCTCTGTAAAGAAGTATTTAACGTGTGTTTTTATTGCTTGTATGTATTAACTACTTAGAGTTTGTGTGTCACTGGTGTGTAGATTTTAAGGAAAAGGCTTCGTGTATCCAGATGTTCATAGCTCCTAGGTTTTATTTACTAAAAAGATTTTCAAAGTCATTATTTATGCTATTATTATTTGTTAAATAAGTTACGTGTGTGGTGAGTTACCCTCATCATTCAGAGGTAGTATAATTTAATCCTTACCTTTTGGAATGTTTCTATTATTTAGAATTAGCTAGCACATTTTATCATTTTCAATCTTTTAGAATTTGACTATGTACTCAACCTTTTCAAAATTATCCCCTGAAAATCATGAAAGTGTGGCCGAGCTGAAAGACTTTTTTATGCTTCTTGACACTGGAGGCGATGGGTTCGTGCATGTTAACATGCTGAGAGAACTTTTTTTATCAACAGTCCCTAAGATGACTGAAGAGGATTTCAATGATCTTTTAGTTGAGTGTCAATTCGATCAAATGGAACAATTAGCGTTCGAGCAATACTACGTGTTATCCGCAAAACTGAAAACCTTATCCCTACTCTCATTATCGGCTACTCAGCTTAATGACTGTGTCAATTTAGAAGAGGTATTCGCACCGTTTGACCCTAGTGGAACTGGCTATGTGAGCTACTCGATTTTTAATGCGTTAATGTCAGGAAAAGGTGATCAGTTATGTGTTCGTGAGGCAACTGAAATGAAACTACGTCTTGAGAGAGTAGGGTTGCTTAAGAAGAACCGAGTAAATTACAGGATGTTTATTAGTAGTATATCTGCATGCGATATTTTAGTCTAATATTAATCCTTTTATTAATTGGATATGTCGTAAACCCAATTGTTTTTCAATTTTCATATATTTACTGTATATTCTTTCAATCATTTTTAACAATAACAACACATGAAAATCTATTATAACAATAAATGTAAGGATTTATGTCATTTCAGATCCTATTTCTTATCCTGATATCATTAGAATTTTTTTTTGTTAGAATTCTATTTTCAATATATCGACAAACGGAAATCATGGAGGGATATCGTGTTTTTAAATCCAAACTGAGAGGCGTTTCTGATGAATGCCGGAAGAACCCAATGAAAGCCCTGGGTGCAGCATTTCTTGTATTATCTCTTTATGTGGGCACAGTCATGCTTCACTTCGGTATGAATTTTTGGCTTTCGTCGTTTCCAAAGGGTGTAAAGCAAAACTATACTGTAATGTTTACCGTTTCCCTTTTATGGTGCATTCTTTTCCTTATTACGGTGCTTATACATTTTCTTTACAACTTGGTTTGTTTTCGAAAAGTCGAAAACTACCTTTTCTTTGTAAACCGTAAAGGCCTGTTTCTTCTGTTTTTAATCGGAACATTAGATTCCCTCACCGGTCTCACCGCATCATACTCTGCTACTCGTGTTCCACTGATTCTGCAATCCGCTTTGATTTCCACAGGTCCTATATGGACTATACTTTTTTCATTCATTTTTTATCCTTCTAGCCAACCGAAGTTTAACGGATTTTTGCTTATTGTATTTTTGTTTATTTTTGGTGCAATTGCACTTGCACTAATACCCCAAATACTCGATAATTCAGGTAAGACACGATATTTCAACCCGCCTTGGATACTTATTTTTCTTACCTGTGCATTATCATTCCCATTATACAATGTTATACAGGGTCGTTTTTCTTTTGAATTTAGGGATCAAGTTCCCTCTTCGACACGCAAATTGGTAATGATTTGCGTTGAAATAACAATTCAGCTTTTTTTGTGCATGTTGTATTTTCCAGTCGATTTTTCCCCATTTTTTGGCCAATGCACATCTGCCAAGGAATCTTGGGACAATATTATCGAAAGCTATCGTCACATTTTCACATGCAAAACGAGTGCTATTTATATGATGGCCTATGTTATGGGGTTTTATATACGTCATATTGTATTTGCATACTTAAATTCATATTCACCAAGTGTTGCAGCTATAACAAGCATGCTTACACAGCCCATAAATACTTTTATTATTTTGGTATTCCCTTCTTGGAATGTCTATGGTTCAAAGAAAGATTGGCGCTTTGTTTTAGCTTGTTTTATATGCCTTCTTGTTGCTATGTTAATGTTTATGTATTGGCATATAACTTTCATGGACTCACCAAATGAACCTCATAATGATAAGGGAGAAAGTGAAGATAATAAGACTGAAGTAAAGTAAATTGAAGGTTTAATATTTTTAAATAGTCTTGGAAAAGAAATATCGTTAAGTAGGATTAAATACACTGATATTATAATTTTTTTATGCATAATTTAGGATTTAAATATTTTAACCAATTTCCATGCCTTTGTAGGTTACTCGAGTTTTTTTATTTATCAAAGACAAGGTGCATTTTCGATAATGCTAAAAATCTATAATTATTTTAATCTTTAGAATATATATTCAGACATAAATATTCATCTTTGAAATTCTAACTTAATCAGGAAAAAATAGTAAATTTATATACCTAACTATGCCCCCCTAAAAATGTTCCGTGTATTATATTTTGATCCATTTTATTTTTTATGAATCTGTGTATCTTTTGTCGTTTTTTTAAATTCTAATTAGGGATTGCTTAGCTTAATTTTGTATCCTTCTGTTTGAATTGGTCCATCAATTGACGTTGTCTGGCTTCATGCGCAGTCGAAATGCCACCAACACGACCAACTGAGGAGCAACGCAGCCTAACGCGAATTGCCGTCGTTAACGCCGATCGCTGCAAGCCACGGAAATGCAACTTGGAGTGCCACAAATGCTGTCCGGTCGTCCTGCAAGGTAAGCTATGTATTGAGGTCACCAATCAGAGCACCATCTCCAAAATATCCGAAGATCTTTGCATAGGATGTGCCCTTTGTGTGAAAAAGTGCCCATATGATGCAATTCGTATTATTAATTTGCCTTCAAATTTAAATAAGGATACGGTTCATCGGTTTGGTCCAAATAGTTTTAAGCTTCACCGGCTTCCATTACCTCGTCCTGGTCAGGTTTTGGGTCTTGTTGGTGCTAATGGAACCGGTAAGTCGACTGCTTTGTCAATTTTAAAGGGCAAGATAAAACCTAATTTAGGCCGCTATAAGAATGAACCGGGCTGGGATGAAATTCTAAAGTATTTTAGAGGTTCCGAACATCAAGCATACTTTCAGCATCTTTTAGACGATGAGCTTCGTGTTCTTCTCAAGATACAATATGTTGACAAAATTCCCAAAGTTGCCAAAGGCATCGTTAGAGAGCTTATAAAAAAAGTTGATGAAAGAAATATGAAGGATGAATTAATGAATATTTTGGAGTTGAATACTATCTCGGACCGGTCTCTTGATAAGCTTTCTGGAGGTGAGCTTCAGCGCTTCACTATTGCGATGCTATGCGTGCAAAAGGCATCGGTTTACATGTTTGATGAGCCTTCAAGCTATCTTGATGTTAGACAACGTCTCACTGCGGCCCAAGTTATCCGTTCCATTCTAACCGAGACGAACTATGTCATCGTCGTTGAGCATGACTTGTCGATTTTAGATTATATGTCGGATTTTATCTGTGTTCTTTACGGTGTCCCTGGTATTTATGGAGTGGTGACAATGCCATATGGTGTTCGCGAAGGCATTAACATCTTTCTGGATGGCTTTGTCCCCACAGAGAATCTGCGGTTTCGAGATGAAAGTTTGACTTTTAATATCTCGGATGATGTTGAGGAAGGAATAAAAAAACGTCATTCCACGATGGAATACCCTTCAATGATTAAAAACTTGGGTTCATTTTCGCTGAATATACACTCAGGAAGATTTTCTGATTCTGAAATTATTGTCCTACTGGGTGAAAACGGCTGTGGGAAGACAACATTTATACGGATGCTCGCTGGGCATATCCAACCTGATAATGGAGTAGAAGTTCCCCAACTTTCCATTAGCTATAAACCTCAGAAGATAGCCCCTAAGTTTGAGGGTACGGTTCGTGATCTTTTGCAGACAAAAATCTACGACATGTTTATCCATCCCCAGTTTCAGGCGAATGTCCTGAAACCATTGACAATTGAAGAGCTTCTTGATCAGGAAGTTCAAAATCTTTCTGGAGGTCAGCTGCAACGTGTAGGTTTATGCATTGCACTTGGTACACCAGCTAATATTTATCTGATTGATGAACCTAGTGCGTACTTAGACTCTGATCAACGTATCATTGCCTCCCGCGTTATCAAGCGCTTTATTTTACACAGTAAGCGGACTGCTTTCATTGTCGAGCATGATTTTGTTATGGCAACTTATCTCGCTGATAGAGTCATTGTATACGACGGGACACCCGCAGTTAATTGCACTGCCAATACCCCATGTGGACTTCTGGAGGGGATGAATAAGTTCCTAAAAAATTTAAGTATTACTTTCCGCCGTGATCCCACGAATTTCCGACCACGTATTAACAAACTGGATTCCGTGAAGGATCGCGAGCAAAAGGCATCTGGCAATTACTTCTATATGAACGACTATGTGGAGGATCCTAAAGCAAAGGCTCTAAAAGCAAAGAACAACGAACAAATGAAGGAAGATGAATCGATTAATAATACCCATGGGAAGAGCAACCATGCCTGTGAAGAAAATGGAAAGGGTAATCCTAAAGTGAGTAAAGTGAAAAGTCAAAGTAATAAAAAATCCACTTAATTTAATTATATTTTCTGACTTAGTACCATTTAAAACTTAATTCTTAGGTTGGTATTTGAATAACAAGACATATATTTGTTAAAAATATATTGCAAATATACTTTGAATCTCCTTTTATTATTTCTTTTACGATGAAATTGATGCAAACTTCTTAAACCTGCTATATTTTATTTTTCATTAGGTTAGTAGGTATATTTACAAGGACGCGTAAAAGTAAACCAGCTTTTGTGCCACTTATTAAGATTTTCTGCAGAATTTTATACTTACAACTGTTTCTGCAGCTATGGAGGAGTTAGAATTAATTGCCGTTCGCGTAAAGGATGGGATTTTTATCGGCAATGTAACCGCAGCAGAGGATAGAGAGTTTCTTAGCATGAATAAAATTACCCACATTGTTAATTGCACAGGTGGTGAAATTGACAATCTATTTGAAGACGATCCAGAATTTAAATACATTTCATTTCCATGGAAAGATACTCCTGGTTCAGTCTGTACCATGATGCTATTTGACCCCTCTGACGAGAACATTAATCACGCGATCCAGTTTATTGACAAGGCTATAGATTCTGGAAATTGTGTTTTAGTCCATAGTTACTACGGATTATCTCGTAGTCCTACATTAGTTGCGGCCTACTTAATGATTAAATATAGTTGGAGACTTGAAAGTGCACTCTCATTTTTGCACATGTCGCACCCTGATATACTAATTAAACCACATTTCCTCCGTCAGTTGCGTTTCTTTGCCAAACGACATCATATTGATTACGATGTATTTCAAAAAGAGGTAGATGACAGTGAGTTTGAACTGGACAATGATCAGTGGATGCTACGCAATACCTTTTTGAATGGCCTCTGTTTCCAAGAACAGCAATTACATGAACTCTTTCGCGAATGCACGGCGAAGGTAGACGTAGGAACCCGCATATACCATGATAGAAAAAAACATCATGTGTCATTTGTAGAAAATCTTAACAGGAATAAATGTGATGTAGTTAAAAGGATTTCTGCAGTGAATACGAAATCTGTTCAGCATTTGGATCCATTCACTGATACTGCTTCGGAAAACCTGATCGGTTCGCGGGGTCTGATTGCCCTGAGATCCGGGGAGCGATCGCATAGTATTATGAGCCATAGAACGCTTCCATGCACTCGTAAATTAGAATCCAATACCGGGACCTGTCCTAATGACCGAGGGCTATCTGGGATGGCATCAACAGAAAACCACGTCAATGACTCATCCCACTCTGCCGCGACCACGACACAGAACTTCACCCGTTCGAACCTGCAATTCTCGTTCTTGCGGAACGGTGTAGAAGGCGCTAAGGACACCCCCATCATCCGAACCGTCGCCTCCGAGGAGTCTTTTCGTCCTCCAAACACGTTATCTTCCTCTCATTATGAGCGGCTGGCCCCACCCAAAAGCACCACCGCCTCCCACCATTCCGCCTATGCGCGACTGACCCCCAAAAACATCTACCGCAAAGGCTCCCCTCTTCCCACCCCCACCCCTCCCCAGCCCAAAATGTCACGGGTGACACAACCCGCCGGGCCTTCCCGGGGCCATTCCCCCTCCTCCCTGGACAGCCGTCTGTCCCATCGAAGTTCGTCACAGACCCTCCACAGCCTCAGCGCCGCGACACCCAATGGGGCCGGGTCGGTTCCAAGTCTGGGCCTGCGGCCCACATCTACCATCGTCCGTTCCGCATCCTCCGAGTACGTCTCGATTACCCCTCGACGGACGGTGTTGGGCTCGTCCGCGAATCCCGCGGGAGGCGCGGCGATGTCGGTAGCCAATCGCTCCATGCTCACCCGCCGCGATTCCCCCAGCGCGCGTATTCCACTGGTCCTCACAAAGTCTCGAAGCCCATGCTCCAAGCCTGGGTCACCTTCTTCGCAAAGTGAATGGAGCTCACGATCGATTGGGAAAAAGGGCAACGAGTTTACTGTAATTCAGCCTACTCGTAATGGTACTTCTACAGGATCCGCAAAGTTTCTAAAAGCGAACCCGTCGATTAGTTCCAATAATTTGAATGGCGTTGTTCAAAAGAAACCACCCAGCCTTAGTCCGCCATGTTCCGTGATGCGACGACGGGAATCACTTACATCTGTTCTATCTAGACAAAAATAAAAAAAATAATATTATGAAGCAAGAACGCTAAATAGATATTGTAAGATGGAATTCAGTTTTTTGGCTTGCACCATTAGTCACCTTTTTAGCTGTCTAAGTAGTTCCAACATGGAACAAGTTTATTTCTATCGATATTTTATGTATTTTTTTTTTTTAGAAACACGATGTTTTTTCTGAATGTACTTTTTTCTCCACTTTTTTTTTTTACAAAATTTCTAGTCAAGACATAATGTCTTTTTACCTGTCAAACGATTTTTTAAGCAAAACTATAAATCATGACTTAGTACAACTAAGTTGTGTTTGAAGGGATTCCTCCCTTCTATTCTTTTTCGCAGTTGATATTATCCAATATTCAACTGAAATAGGTTTTAATCCATTTTCCACAGTTTTCTGCAATCGACTGGTTGTTAAATCATATCTGCGAATCTGCTTTTAATTTTACAATGAGGCAATACAGCAGCCCCTAAATAGTGAATTGCCATCCCACGATACTGCGGCACCTTGGCAATGTCTGAGGTGATTGTGGAGATGGTGAGAGCAACCCTCAAAGTGATATTCTTGCACAATGGAGTTTCTTGGTTGTCAGATCCTACGGCATTTAAATTTCGACCGAAATAGATTCGAATATCGTGATTGATTTCCATGCAAGGCAAAGTGCAGCCCCACGGTGTGACTGCATAAGGTTTTCTTTTGGAGTTGGTTGGAAAGGGTGTTCTGCACCACAGTTTTTGTGCAAGTTATGAAAGCCTATAATGTGGTCTTGGCAATATGAGCAGGCTTCCCTGGGATGATGTTCAGGCCATTTTAGTCTTATTGATTAACTTTTGAAGAGGGAATGCCATTGTGTAGGTACTTTTATATCGCTATGCAAGGCGGCTTGCTTTTTCTGTTTTGCGATAGAAAGAAAGTCAGCGGTCCTATATTGGGGCAATGCGTACTTTGGTATAGTAATCTTCGTTGTTTCTGCTCTGTGATTAGCGTAAAACTGAATGTGGGGTTGACATAACTGAGGTTGAAAACTCACAAAGTTTTTGTTAATGTGTTGATAATCCTTCTAATCTCTGTGCTCTTATCTACAAAGAACATTTTGATACTTTGATCTGTAGATTGAGGGAGGGGATGCTGCTAGTATTTGCCTTAAAAGTAATTATGTGATGATTGGTATCAATTGATATTACGGTGTAGCATTTGTAAACGGAAGAGTAACGGCTAAAGATGAGACTAAGGATACTTTTCAATAAATATTGAACATAGATGATAGTCTCAGGCTTATTTTGGTGTGTATAAAGCTGCGTTCGAGGATTTCCTTGATAAAAAAAAGTTGTAGCTTCGTTTGATATCATCTCCAGACATGACTCCCAACCAGGATTGTGGGTGTTGAGGTTCTCGGATAGGAGAGGTAGGTACTTACTACGCGATAATCAAGACCAGGGTGAAGTAGTTAAACAATTATAACTTCGACAGTATTTGTTAAGAGCTTTATCGTATCCGCTTTTGCTTTAAGGGAGGAGGCGGTACGAATCATAGGGCAACTGCACAGTCTCCTTCGAGGACACGACGTGATATGAAGATTCAATACTCAGTCACTTCGTCTCTTTTGGATCGTTACTTGTCCATCTTTATTTTATGTGATACTAAAGTATTTACATCTTACAATACAGGCACAAATATCCTCATTTGAGGCACTGTACGGACGCATTTTATTGTGTGATTTGAAGAAGTCTGGGCTCTTCAGCTTCCTCAAATCAGCGTTTGTTGAGGATAGTTGATTTGTCTTTCGAGTAAATCTATGAATCTTTAAAGGCAGCAAGATCGATCTATATTTCTAAAGCGGTTGGTCTTACTTCATTGGTGTAGTTCCTGCTGGTAGGTCCTCCATGTGTTAGTGCAATCAGGCTGGTAATATTGTTTTTAGATAGAAAACGTATTGCAGGTTAATGGCGTTTGTCAGAAAAGAATACTGATTTATGGGACTGAAGAGATGTCTAGAAACAAGCGCGAATTCAAAAGAATTTTATCATCCTTCGTGATAGATGGGTATTTCATATATATATATATATATAAGATGTACCAAGTGATATTTGCACTT